AGTAAGGTTCTTAAGAAGTTTGAAATAAAGAATTAAGTTAGACCTAAGCCTTCTTTTCCAGAGGGGTTCTAGTCCTAGGATATGGCATCTGGATTTGTAGTCAGTGAGTTGGTCGTTCTTAAGTATTTTGCGAGTGAAGTCTCGCTGTATTTTTTCCACCTTAAGTATATAAGATAGGCGTAGGTTGGAAAATAAGAACGAGCAGTAATATTACCAGGGGTAACACGTGAGCCATCACATCACCCCCCATGGATTGTCAAAGAGACCCTAGAACTGAAGAGGTGTAGGAAACATTTCTATCACTTGTTGTTGTCCACAGGTCACCAATCATTTAAGTTTAAACACTTAGCTATCCAGACTATATGTAAAAAACAGTCGATAGACATCGCACCACATAAGAAAAACACTTGACATACGATTATGTCTAACTAACGACTTGTTGGTATGACCAGCATAATAGATAACTGAATTGAAAGAATCGTTCGGGTTTTCACTAGGTCCAATAGTATCACACAATCTGTTTACTCCCGAGCAACACAAGTTTCGAAGTAAGTATTCATGCTTAACCAAAATTCTGATAACAAGAAAGGATTTGACAGCAGCCTAAGACAACGGTTTGCCAGATGTGATAACAAAGGATTTGGTAAGGTTCCTAACTTAGGCCTTATGCAGAAGCTCTCAAGTTCCGGAATAACAAGTACCGTCCAAGAATGGACGGGAAAATTCGTCTGGAAAGGCGAACAGAGTGTGAAGGTAAATGGAACACTATCTGAATGGAAGATGACCAAAAGTGGTGTATTTCAAGGGACTATCTTAAATCCTCCTGTTTAAGTCGTCCACATTAAGATTTTCAGATTATGTCAAATTCTGGAGAGCAATAAGGAGTGCAGCTGATAATCCTGATCTCCATGCTGATCTAGACGAACTAATTAATTGGTATTGGAGTCGGGGCATGGAAATTAATTCTGAAAAGAGTGTGCTAATGAAAATCGGACACAGCAATAGTCATCAATATTTTATCAATGTCACTTCGCTTCTGTCTGTGCAGGAACACAGATTTGGGGCCAACAGTAAGTCATGACTTGAAAACAACTGAGTATCAGGGCGCAGAAGCCTCCAAACTTTTATGACCGTTATGGTCGCTATGCCGAACGTTCAAATGCCGCGACGAGATGTCCTGGGCTTTATATCCCACCTACGTAAGACCACACTTAGATTATTGTGTCCAAGCAGCAAGTCCATGTCTTATAAAAAATACTAACACACTTCAGCGTGTTCAGAATGTGGGAACAAAGATAGAAGACAGTTTTTTCAAACTGTCTTGCGATGGGCATCTAAAACGACTAAACCTTCTCTCTTATTGTATCTTAGAATGTAGGATGACCTTGTCTTGATATTCCATATATTTAAAAACTATTTCGATGATGATATGTCATATCTCTTCGCTCTTCCGAAAAATAGTCATCTTCAAGTCCATAGCAAGAAGGGTCAAAATCTAAGATCTTATTGACTTAGAGTCAGTTTCCGTTTTTCTCATCGAGTGGTCAATGACTGGAACGGCTTACCCAAACAAGTGGTATCAGCCTCATCAGTGAACATTTTGATGGAGAAACTGGTACTTCACTGAAAGGCATACTGTTAAGATTAACGCAGATCCACCAACTTTCCTTATTTTTGACGACTGATTTAACCAGTAAACTTTAATACGCCACGTGGATGCTGGAATTCAGATTCAGATTTGTCTACTGAGGACATAAGGCCTACGTCCCTTGCTAATCCCTTTCTAGTAAGCTTATAAAATTGTCTAGTCGTTTCTCTAAACGGTCAATTGAAGAAGACTTTGCAGAATTATGGTCTAATTCGATTTTAGTACGTTTATCTTTGCTACCTAATTCCAACATCGTAAATATGTCATGATGTTGTCACCCAATCCATAATATCTGACATGAAAGTCACGTCACGTCCTACACTGACTCGTCCTATTATGAAAACTGGAAATTTGACTCCAAACAATTCTGGAGAACATAGATGAGCTGAGCAGAGAGTAATATATTCAATACAAAAAGCGATGGGTCAAATACATTGAACACGCTTGTATGGCCGTACCATTCCATTTAGATTCCTTGTTGTCGTGTTAACCATTGTTGAACTTCCCCTAGCATCAAATGTATTGATAACCCAGTGTAAAAACCTGTAAACTACTGGTATTTTATTCGTTCTTTGATTTTTACGCACCATTTATGTTCTCTGAGTTCCCCTGATTCAGTAGGAAGGAAAAGGGACGACAAATAAGGTCCAAAATCATTTTTTAGTTTCTGTACATCAACAACAGATCACATCTTAATCGTCGGTAGGAAAACCTGGATTTCTAAATGCGCACAGGTAGCTGACTCCTGTATTTTTCCCGGGATATCCGGGCCAACTCATAGACCGGAGCTTGCGACCTGAACGCAGTTTCGAGTATAGATCTCGCCGAGGTTGTGTGTATCCTCATGGACATAGTATCTAACTTGGTAAATATCTGTCTTAAGGCCCATGGGCTTCTAAACCCTTTAGCTGTAATCTTGAGGTTATAGCTTACTGTTGCCCCAAGATCATTGTGAGAATGGACTACGGGCACTGACTCTTCAGAAACTTTATACTTACCTTTGTATCCCTTATGTGCATAGACACGTTGTCGTGTTGATAGGCACTAGCCATCTTTTAGACCAGCTAATCAGATTATCTAAGTCTACCTGAAGTGTACATGAATCTCGCCAGATTTTCACATCCTCAGAGTCTAGTAGAACTGGGGACTCAACATTTACATACTATATAAAAAGTAGAGGACATAGGACAGTGTTGATGTACTCCACTAAATACCGGTTTACAAGAGGAGCACTTGAGATTTATTTTCCCTTTCTGACTACGACCTACCAACAATTTTAGGGGAGGGGGTTTCCATCCTCAAGTTTAGTCTCTGTTTAGCACTTTTTCGAATGCCTCATTGAATTCTGCGTAAAGAGATCTCACCTTCTACTATCTGGGGACTCTGTTCAATTCTCATTGGTCCCTAGAAAACTGTTGTTCGCTTTCTGAAACCATGTTATTCGCTGTTTAAGAAGTTGATGACTTCTACTGATGTGATCATATCTTTTTAGATTATTCTTTACAGTATTTTAGGGGCTTATAGCTAATGGGCAAAATAATAAGTTGGTAATGTTAAAAATCGTCGAAAAGAAGCGTCTAGATAAGCTTCTTCAATACTTTCAACTTCATCTTTACTAAGTAGATTAAGTCATCTGTTTGTCCCTAGCGATATAACTCTAGGTAGTTGGAGTATCCACTTGAATACGAAAGACATGATTATTGCTGCGATGCAACTATGTGTACCTAACCATAAAACTCTTTCAACTTGTTGCATTATTTCAGATTAGGTACGGTACAAAATAATGCACCTAATGAATTGGGTGGAATACTGTCAGTCATAATATGGAAATATTTATAGCCAGAGTCTACAGTTAGCTGGAATCCAACCTATCACGTTTTCTTCATCAAATTTAGGTAGAAGAACCACTTCTTACAATGTGCTCCTACAGATAAGAAGTAACTACAAGATAAAGTGTAAATAAATCAGCTATATTCTAAACAATAATTTACTTACTTAGGCACATAAATATTGGTACAGATGGGCACCAAGTACATATGCGCCACACAAATAAATGTCATTTCATTCACTTGTGTGAGGGCTATGAAACTCTCCAGGTAGCCAAACTGAAGCAGGTGGTTTTCTTAGAGTGCCACACCCTGAGCCTTTGACCGAAAGATCTGATCCACAAGGCAGTGGAGCATCGTGAGGAGATGCAGTCCCATGATAGCTGGTGACCAACGATTGATTCATACGCCATTCGTTCCATCAGGATACTGGAGCCTATGTGCACCATTGGTTTGGAATCGGCGTTTTCCAACTCCCCTAGGTGGACTCGTCGTGTCCAGCAACCCGGTTAAAGCGCCGGAAATTCGCTTTTCGTCCTCTCAATTTCGTGAACAACACCCCTACAACGAGAAGGCAGTGAGTAGGACTTCCTTGGCAGAGGCTATATACGCGTGGTCATGTGAGAGCATTTGGAGAGGGAGAGCGGTCTCTCCCCACTCTCGGCCGTAACAGGGCATTTGAAGAAATAAATATAATTCTTATCGCATAACTGACTAAATTCGCTCAAGAAAATAGACAACAAGACAAAAGGTAAGTAATTTTTATATTTCATAAATAAGTAACTTGAATTGCTAAATGGTGAACTTTTTTTTAAAAAATGTCCAACGTTTCAAAGAGCATTTCAATTCAAATGTTACAACATTATAACAATAGTTATAGTTGACTGTCACAATATGAATGATTATACATATATAGAAAATCCTATTATAATTACAAGAAACCTCATTTTGAAATGAAAATACCACTAATTCATGTTGAACAACTAGGATACCTAATTGTAAATCATTCATCCAAACGAGGTGATATGATAATAATAATAATAATAATAATAGTAGTAGTAGTAAGAATAGTAATAGTAATATCAAAAAATGGAAGAAAAACAAAGTTCGTTTTTAGCACAAAACTGTTTGAATGTTTCGGCTTTTCTGAATGAATGGCTGCCATATCGAAAATACATTATTAAGTCAATTAGATTGGTACATATTTAAAAAATAAATATATCCCTTGAATAAATATATAGATCCTAATAACAATATAATATAACAGGAATAATAAAAGAGAAAATGTTGCTAAGGAGTTAGAAAATTCCTAACATGATACTTTTAGTCATTTAAGTAATAGTACAGATTTTAAATTTCTAAAAAAAATTAAAGGGTACATGGACTTCATTAAAATTTAAATAAACAACAAAAAAATACTTCCCACTTAGAAAAACGAGGGGAAAAAAAGCAAACTGGAAAAATTGAACATCAACTATAAATAAGCATAAAACAATATATAAAAAAATGTCTGTATTGTGAATGATTTAATGAGTTAATGTTGTTTTACAATCACCTGGTAAACTAACTGAATTTGAATTAGTTGTTACAATTACAGATGATTCGGAAGTATTCAATTCATTAGAGATTATTTCATTAGTTGTAACAATTGGTTGATTTGTTGAAGATGGAGTACTATGATTTTGTATATCCGGTATTGTTGGTGATGTAAATATCATAAAAGCTAGTAGTATATAATGAAGAGAATGAAATATAATCATGGGTCATAAATCATAATAAATAAATAAATAAATAAATTAGGACTATAACGTCAATCCCTATATCCTGTTGACTATTCAGTCAACAAAAAAATTATCTTAAATCCAACTTTAAAAACATAGTGGCTAAACTCTATATAAATATGAGTTATTTATGTTATGGTAGTGAAACGATCGTAAAAATTGATGTACATGGGATGATTTCAATATATGGATTGTTTTCTAAAGTTGAAGATGATTTCTGTCTACGGTATAGTGACAAATGAAATTTGGTTTGGATTCAAGAAGAATAATTAAATTTCACCTCTGAGTGTTGCATGAATTACGGATATGACGACTGTTAGGAAACTTAAAAGTCAATTATACATAATTTTAATGACAGTTGATTGTCCTAAGAAAAAGTAAGATTGAGTAAGAGCATACACTCACCTCATTCCATTGTTCCAAGCAGTATGGTTACACAGGGTTGCCCAATCTAACCATTTCTCTCCAACTTTGCCATTGATGACTTTCTGGAAACAACCCTGATGGATGTAGGTAATGGTGGTGCACATCTGTTATTTGAAGAAAGACTTTTCGGCCTACTGTATGCGGACGATATTGTCTTACTGTGCGTTGTACCCAAACCATGCAATTCGCACTTAATCAGTTGGCAGGGTACGTAGGTACGGGGCATGTACTTTGGACCTTCTAAGTGCAAAGTACTTTTACAAGACAGGTCGAACCACAAATCCGCATTCACTTTTGGTAGTCAGTAGTTAAAAATTGTCGAGAAGTTGGCATATCTGAGTACCTGTGTAAATGCTAATGGTGGCGTGAGTGAAGTCAATTCATGTATAGTGAAACTTAAAGTGGCTTGTCGCAATCTGGCCCATCCACGGCCCCTTCCTGATATTAGTCCCGCTATAAAAAATCGGATCTATGGTGTGTCGGTGAGATCAGTTCTGCTCTATGCTCGTGAAACCTGGCCTCCAAGTTGTGGATGTTAAACGACTCTCGATATTTGATTATCGTTCATTTATTATTTCTCAACGGTGATCAAGTGTTCTTGTAAAATGCTCAAAATGATACTTATATTTTGTAGGATTCAACACATGATCACAATAGCATATTTTGAGACCTAACTATTTGACTTAGACTTAAGTTATGAATTCCTTCGTATCTAATATAATATGAATAGAACTATTAGTGTCTTACATTTGCTGTAAAAAGAACTAACCAAGGGATATAAATATATATTCATCAACGCAGTAAGCCATAGTTGAAGGTCAAAATCTGAAACATTTTTCTAGCAACATAAGAAGCGATTTCGATGTATTTAGGTGAATTACGTAGTAAGATTACGTTAAACACTACAATCCCAAAGTGTATAAACTTACATAATGGGTTACTTTGTGATTGTAAAGAAGCTTGATCACTAGGATATGATGATTTAGTAGAATTATTAGATGCTGTTGTAGGTTGCACGTTATTCGAATTCGTAGGACAGAAATTTTGACAGCTAGTTGATGTGTCTAATTTCGAAATGCAATTGACCAATGAACCAGAATTAAACGGAGGTATAGGTAATTTATTTGAAGATGATGGTTGAGTAGATGTAACCGCTTTGTTGTTTCTTTTGCTTTGACCAGAATTCTTAGGCAATGAAGGACATGAAGGCATAGCTGAACTGGTACTTTTTGTTGACTGAGGTTGTCGAGCAGCTATCGCTGAACTTAAACGAGCGCTTAGTTCCTGCTATAGACAGAAAATAAGAAATAAAACGAAAAAAAATGAAAAGTAAGCACAATATTTCAATGATATGTTATCGTTCATGATTATAAACAAAATAAGACTTAGTAATAGTGGAGAAGAATTAAAACGGCAGTAGTTAAACATTAGTGATATACTCCTGACGTTGCTCTACTCACTTCGCCCCCAAATGCCCTGGTACGGCCGAGAGTGGGGAGAGTCCACTCTCCCTCTCCAAATGCTCTCATATGGCCACGCGTATAATACAGCCCCTGCCAGGGAAGTCCTACTCACTGCCTTCACGTGGCGTCACTGTTGAAGAAGAGTATGTTTGAGAAGTTCATTAACATCTTAAAGGCCCTGTATACGAACACCTCAGGCAGAGTGAGGGCATACAACCACCTTTCTCCCTTGTTCCATTCGAGCAGTGGGATTAGACAGGGTTTCCCGATCTCACCATTCCTCTTCAACTTTGCCATCGACGACATCCTGGAAACAGCTCTGATGGATGTAAGTAATGGCGATGTGGATATGTTGCCTGGAGAACGACTTCTCGACCTCGAGTATGCGGATGATATTGTCTTACTGTGCGATAATGCCCAAGGCATGCAATTCGCACTTAATCATTTAGCAATCAGTGTCCGCAGGTACGGCATGTGCTTTGCACCCTCCAAGTGCAAAGTACTCCTACAAGACTGGCAGTATTCTCATCCTGTACTCACCCTGGATGGAGAGGAGATCGAAGTAGTTGAGAAATTCGTGTATCTAGGTGGCTATATAAGTGCTGGTGGTGGCGTGAGTGATGAGATTGATGCACGTATAATGAAAGCCAGAGCGGCTTATGCCAATCTGGGCCATCTTTGGCGCCTTCGTGATGTTAGTCTGGCTGTAAAAGGTCGGATATACAACGCGTCGGTGAGAGCAGTTTTGCTCTATGCTTGTGAAACCTGGCCTCTCCGAGTTGAGGATGTTAGACGACTCTCTGTGTTCGATCATCGTTGTCTCCGAAGGATTGCTGACATACAGTGGCAACACCATGTTAGTAATGCAGAGGTTCGGCATCGTGTGTTCGGGCACAGAGACGATAACTCAATTGGTGTCACCATCTTGAAACACCGACTTCGGTGGCTTGGACATGTTCTACGAATGTCGTCCCAGAGACTTCCACGTCGTGCATTATTTGCCGACTCTGGGACTGGTTGGAAAAAGCGGAGAGGTGGTCAGTGTATGACATAGTGTCGTGACATGAAAGAAAGCTGCAAAGGGCTAGCTTCTGTTGGTCTTTCACGACTCCCTGGCTGGGGTCCGAGAGATGGTGCAACATAGTGGCTAGAGACGTTATCAGATATGGCTCAGAATAGAAACCAGTGGCGATCCTGCTGCAACCTTCTTTTACTTTCTTCATAAAGAGTGGTTATTACTTTCTTAACTGAGAGAGCTCTTCTGGTTGTACATTTCAGATCCCCCCATCATTACTCTTCTCCTTCTCTCTTTTTCCTTCTTTTATATATACGCATCTTCTTACTTCTCCTCCCATTCTCATTATTTTGTGTGGTGCATATGTATCCGGTGCCCTTTGTACTAATATATATGTGATTAAATAATTAAATAAATAAATAAATACACTGCCTTCTCGCTACACCGGTGTCGTTTACGAAATTGAGAGGACGAAAAGCGAATGTCCGGCGCTTTAACCGAGTTGGTGGACACGGCGAGTCCACCTAGGGGAGTTGGAAAACCCTGATTCCAAACCAATGGTGCACTTGGGCTCCAGTATCCTGAAGGAACAAATGGCGTATGAATCAATCGTTGGTCACCGGCTGCCATGGGACTGCACATCCTTGCGATGCTCCACTGCCTTGTGGATCGGATCTTTCGGTCAAAGGCTCTGGGTGTGACACCTTAAGAAAACTACCTGCTTCAGTTTGGATGCCCGGGCAATATCCCAGCTCTCACACAAATCGAATGGTTTATATGGGCGTGTCTGTTTAATGTCACCTCGTACCAATGTTCATATGTTTAAATAAGTAAATAAAATATAACGATGTATGAATTTATAAATAATAGAATTATTTAGCAGAGATGGATAGTGGTTAGCAGTGGAATCCAGGACGCGCGTTTTCGTCCTATTTGGGACTCGTCAGCTGGATGTACCTGCATCTCAGAGTTGATGTTCACTCTGGGACTCGAACGAGATGCAGGTACATCCAGCTGACGAGTTCCAAATAGGACGAAAACGCGCGTCCTGGATTCCACTGCTAACCACTATCCATCTCTGCTAACCATGCTTGTGAATTAAGGTATATCGAGGCAATACGCACAGTCTGCACATATGCCAATTAGAGACTGACCAGTTGCAGTCCTAACAAATCGATGGGAAGATTCAAACAAACAATACTAAGTTGAATTTAATAGAATTATTGTTTTAAAATGATAAATGAACTAATTTGTGATTAAAAGTTTTATGCATAAATAATTTTAGTGAATTTATTTTATATAAACTAGTTAATAAAAACATAATTCACTTTAAATATGGATTGAATAAGTTAAATAGACTGAAATCATAAAGAATACAATCAAGAAGAAACATGAATCAAATTAAATTATTATACATTTCTTAAAATTAATAGTAGTGTGTGTGACAAAGACTGGAAGAAACTCAATAGATGACTAGAGAATGTAAACAAAAAGATAGGAATGTTAAAAAAACACAACAACAACAGTAATTGTGATCAGTTCTAAACAAAGTCAAGTGAGATGATGATGATGATGATTGAATTGATAAGTTTATGTAAGTAAACTTTTACTAAATCACAATGGAATACGGTTATGGGAGATACAAGATAACAAGTTGATTAATAGGGTATGAATATATATATATTAAAGGAAAGTGAAGGTGGAATTTATATCTTAAATATCGAATTAAGATAGTATCACTGACTTTATTTATTTGACAACAAATGATTATATAACTCAATGACAGGAGAAACCAACCACATATCTACCGGTTTAAACACTTTTATACACATGGAAAATAATAGAACGTATGAAAAAATAAAGATAAAAAGCAAAAACACTACACATCACACTAAACAGCATATTAAATTAAATACCATTACTAGAGTAGCTTTCTTATGATTATGCATTACTATGGAGGAAAAAAAACATGAGACTGAATTTTTATTTTCTTCAGCAAGATTTGGGATGAAGAACAAGTACCAACAGACTGGAAAGAAGGACTTCTGATCAAGATACCAAAGAAAGGTGATCTCAGAAAATGTGTGGACTACAGAGGCAACACTCTTCTCTCAATACCAGGAAAAGTCTTTAACAGGGTGTTGTGAAACGAAATGAAGGATTCCGTGGACGCCCAACTTCGAGGTCAATAGGCTGGATTCCGTAAGGATCGATAGTGTATAGAACGAATCGCAGCTCTACGGATCATTGTGGAACAATCAATTGAAAGGAATTCACCACTTTACATCAACTTCATTGACTACGAGAAAGCATTTGATAGAGTTGGCAGGACAACACTATGGAGGTTTCTTCGACACTACGGTGTGCCTGAGAAGATAGTCAACATCATATGGAATTCTTATGATGGATTAAACTGCAAAATTTTGCATAGAGGACAAGTCAAAAACTCGTTCGAAACAAAGACCTGTGTCAGGCAAGGTTGCTAACACTCACCCTTTTCTCTTTCTCCTGATGATCGACTGGATTATGAAGACGTCGACATCTGGAGGGAAGCACGGGATACAATGGACAGCTAGGATACAGCTGGGCGATCTAGACTTCGCAGATGATCTGGTTCTTCTATCACAAACGCAACAACAAATGCAGAAGACGACCAGTGTATAAGCAGCAGTAGGTTTCGAAATACACAAAGGGAAAAGCAAGATTCTCTGTCAGAGCACAACATACACCAATCGAATCACACTTGACGGAGAAGCTTTGGAAGATGTGAAAACCTTCACATATCTGGGTAGCATCATTGATGAACACGGTGGATCAGATGCAGATGTGAGGGCGTGGATCGGCAAAGCAAGAGCAGCATACCTACAACTGAAAAACATCTGGAGCTCAAAACAATTGTCAACCAACACCAAGGTTAGAATTTTCAATACAAATGTAAAGACAGTTCTACTGTATGGGGCGGAAACCTGGAGAACTACGATAACCATCATCCAGAAGATTTAGGTGTTTATTAACACCTGTCTACGCAAGATACTTCGGATCCGTTGACCAGACACTATCAACAACAACCTACCGTATGAAACAGAACAAACCAGATTCCAATGGAGGAAGAAGCGCTGGAAGTGGATAGGACACACATTGAGGAAATCACTCAACTGAGTCACAAGGCAAGCCCTCACTTGGAATCTTCAAGGTAAAAGGAGAAGAGAAAGATCAAAGAATACATTACGGCGAGAAATGGAGACAGACATGAGAAGGATGAACAACAATTGAATAGAGCTAGAAAAGAAGGCCCAAGACAGAGTGGGTTGGAGAATGATGGTCAGCGTCCTATGCTCTATTGGGGGGTGACAGGCGTATGTAAGTATCATGATATTAAAATATTACTAAATGATATATTTAGAAAAGCAAAATTACTGGAAATTTCTACAATCTGGAAAACATTCTTTATAGTAAAAGAATTCATCTAATTTACGGTTATTTGATTTATACAGAAACCTAGTGGATAACGATTGTTTAACTTTAAATCAGTGAATCATATGCTTACATATACTGTCACTATATATAGTTCAAAAATGAGTAAGTACATTTTTTGACTGGCAAAGGGTTATTATCATTATTAATTAAGATCATGAATCGATCAATGTCAGACCACTATGGAAAAGTTGCAAGCACTAGACGGCTATTTCGTCCTAATATTGGACTACTCAGAAATGAGCAGTGGGCAAGGAATGTAAATGATAATATGAAATTATTAAAAGTTATTCAAACATTAAATACTTACCAAATCATTAAGATCAACACTTTTAGTAAAATATGTAGAATTTGTTGGCGGTATTGTAGAAGAAGAAGAAGAACACGAACTAGATAAATAGTCAAAGGTTGATTTAGTCTGATTATTATTATTATTCCTATGGGGAGTGAAAGAATCATTTAAAAATGTATTCGGTTGATGTTTTATTAAATTTGAATAACTTAAATGTGATTCATGTGGAGATTTCAAATAATCTAATGATGTACAAAACACTGGTTGAGTATGATTTAAACAATTGGTTGAATGAATTTTATCAAATGATCCTAGATTATCCATAAGATTTGTTGAATCATGTTTTAAATTTGAATTGGAACAAGTTGTAGTATAGTCTTTCGGTAGAATTGGAACTTTTTTATTTCTATCAGTTGAATGTTTTGCAGAAGATGGATCATTGTAATTGTTGAGCAATGTGACAGGTTGATTCGAAGAATCTTAAGTAAAAATAAATTACATCCAAAATAAATACAAAATGTAATTACATGTTAATGTAATGTATAAACACGTAAAATGCTTATTATTAATACAACAATCAAAATAATGATATCAGATAAAATAAATCATACCCAATATTACAAGGATGGTAAACATTTATATAAAAGTCAGTCCTGGTTTACAATGATTTTTCTATTGAGATTGTAATGAAAACGTATACAAAATACAACCTAAAACCGTTAAACTAAAAATATTTTTGCATTCACTATGACTAAATTCGCCCCTAAATGCCCTGGTACGGCCGAGAGTGGGAAGAGTCCGCTCTCCCTCTCCAAATGCTCTCATATGGCCACGCGAATATATAGCCTCTGTCAGAGAAGTCCTACTCACTGCCTTCTCGCTACACCGGTGTTATTTACGAAAGTAAGAGAGCGAAGAGCGAATGTCCGGTGCTTCAACCGGGTTGGTGGACATGGAGGGTCCACCTAGGGGAGTTGGAAAACCCTCATTCCAAACCAATGGTGCACATGGGCTCCAGTATCCTGAAGGAACAAATGGCGTATGAACCTATTGTTGGTAACCGGCTACCACGGGACTGCATCTCCTCACGATGCTCCACTGCCTTGTGGACTAGACCTTTAGGTCAAAGGCTCGGGGTGTGGCCCCTAAGAAAACCACCTGCTTCAGTTTGGGCATCTGGGCAGTATCTCAGCCCTCACATAAATCAAATGAGATTTGTGAGGCGCATATTTATCTGGTGCTTTTTGTACCAATATTTATGTGTTTAAATGAAATAAAATAGAAATAATAACTAAATTCAATAACAATTTTCTGAAGCTCTCCAATAAAAAGTCACAACAAACAATAAATAAAGTTCGGAATAAGACAGTAAATTTTCAATAATATTGCTTAAAGGTCATTATAATGCTTGTGAATTAAGGCAATATCGAAGCAATAAGCACAGTATGCATATATGCCAATAAGAGACTGGCAGGTTGCAGTCCTAAACATCAATAGGAAGATTCAAACAATTAATACTAAGTGAATTCAAACATCATCTCATTGCACAAGCAAGTGGCTATCAGGACTCAGTAGCTGAGTGGATAACGCGATGACGTTTGGAGCGAGGGTACTGAGTTCGAGTCCCAGAGTGATTATCAACTCTGAGACACAGCAACATCCAGCTGACGTGTCCCAAAATAAGACGAAACGCGCGTCCTGGATTACACTGCTAGCCACTATCCATCATTGCTTATGAACCAAGTATGTTTGAAATAAATGATTCGCATAATGGGAGCTGCTATTGGCGTCATTGACTTAGCTGGACGGCCTAGGAGAACAAAGGACCAATAAGGACGCTAGACCTCGAACGTCATTAGTTTATCACAGTGCTAAACTTGAATAAGTCGTATTTCGATTGTTGAATAAATCACGTGATAAAAGCCGGGCATAAAATCACAACAGTCAATACTACCGATTCGATTAAAATTGCAGATGTGGATTAATGAATTCTGGCTCAAAGGTCTATGGGTGTCGTGCTCGTCAAGAAATCTAGTTACAATGTATAACCATGGACATGAAGGTCTGAAGAGTCCTGAACTAGGAATGAGACACTTCACTAGTTTTTCAGTTAATATCAACTAATGATTAAAATCATCCTAACATTTATTTGTAAGAAATAATCTGCTAAAATTTCATCAATTCACTAACAATACATAAATAACGCTAAACAATCAAAATAATTAATGTGTAATAAGAGTTTTAAAAAACTAGTAAATTCTCAAACAAACTATCAGGGTGTAAATAATCATTGTTAGATGATGACCAAAAAAAGAATGAAGTAATTTCCATAACATAGAAATACAGATTCTTAATTTTATTAGCTTGTAATAAGTTTGAAATGGTATGACAAAAGCCTACAATCTAAAAAAAACGAGCACGTTAGCATTTCCAGACTGTTAAAATAGATACGACCTATTCCCTTAATCTATGTTAATGCTTGAAGTTGTGAATAACATTTATTGTATGTGAGGAAAATAGAATAACGCTATCTAGATGACAATGGGAAATGAATTGGAATTTCACTATATATCCGAAAGGTCAGTGGAAAAACAATTGGCAGTAATTCTATTAGTTTTAATCGTAAAAAACAGTTATGTAAAGATCGAAAGCTACAGTCCTACCAATAATCAAACAAAGATTTTAATGTTATGTAAATGACACAGTTGTTATCTTCAAGAGAAACAGACATGAAGATACTCGTAAACTGATTGACAACACTTTTCATGACACTAAGTTCACAACACAAGAAGATTTTATCTTTGAATGTGTTAACCAGCATGGTAAATACAGCCATACAGAAAACCAAGTTATATAGATTACATGCTACAATTACAACAGAAAAAACTAAGTTTCCAAGATGAGTTGTGTAAAGACGTTGTTCAGAAGAATCAAAAATTATTTTAGTACTCTGAGTACACGAAAAAAACGAAGCATATTTTCTCTGTTTTCCGTAAACTTGGTTACACCGAAAACTCCATCAAAAAGTGTTTAAAGAGTTGGAGTACCTTCATAAGATCATTTGCGAAAATAAAGTTATCCTACCGTGTATGAAAACCAGTCATGAAATTACCTGAAGGCTTTTAAAGCCTGTTGTAGTTAATGTTACTCGCTAATAGACACAGTCATTTTATGTCATCGTATGCAGACTGAAGGGCATAACAGCGAAAGAATACAAATACAATATCATTCACAAAATAATTTGCATCACTTGAGACAGGTAGTATATTGGATGGGAGAGGACCTCCTTTGTTCGCACATAAACAAATACATTAACAGTGAAACACATGACATATTATCACACATACTAATGTACAAATATGAATTTGACTAAGAAAATGGTAGACTTTTGAGTAGAGAAAACTTAAAGAACGAAGGATAACAGCTAGAAACATGGCATTCAGATCAATAGATAATCAGAAGACACCGATATAGATCCCGTTTATTAACCTACACGTAAAACGTCAATCAACCAGGTGTCTATAGGGTAACCGAACTAGTCAGTCAATAGGAATGGACAAACGAATGAAGATAAAGAAAAATTCAAAAATGACAGCTCACACACAAAGTCGTCAGAATGAACCGATTCAGCATTCGTAATAGCTCACTTTTATGTGAAGTAGTCGTTGGTATTGTTCAGAGTAATGGCAAAAGAGTTAAGCGATTGAATACTCAGTTCACCAAACACAATTTGACCAAAAGTGATATTATTCCTTACTGTTCTCCAATATTCTTTCCCCAGCTTTTGAGGAAAGATTGTTGTACTGCGGAGGGTGCTGAAGGCAGTTAGCAGGGTGTGTGATGAATCTTTTAACGTCATTGTTAATATGGTTGTAGATAGACATCTAAATTCTTGCAAACTACTGACAGGTATTATTTTATTAGATACCTACCATCTACTTCATATATATCTTTCTCTCCGTATATCTTTTGGTAGAACGAGATGTCACTAGATCAGAATCCATGCACGCAAGAAAATATATAAAGGCTCTACAATAGCTTATCTAGAAAAATATACTGTGACGAACAGGTTGCTAGAGCTGGTCAATAACTTAGTCAATAACTTGTATTCTTAAACATGCTTCTAATTTAAAAAGTTGTACAGATTCAAAACTTCTTACAAAAACGATTTTATTCAATTCCAGGTAGTTTATCTGTTTAACTTTTGTATATATGTATGCAGTTACCAATTTCGTTCACCTTTTTTGTACAAAAAGCTTGTTGAAATACCTCGTTCTGAGAATTCTATATTGCACCAAAAATATAATATTAAATAAAGCCATTAATAATAGTGATAATAATTAATTGATTATCAAACCATGATATTATTATTAGATGATTTATTTATCATTAACATTTTCGACTCAAGCTAACAGAAATTATGAATTCACTAATATACATACTACTAATTATAGAAGGGGTTTTGTGGAGATTTAGTATCTACTATAGTTGAAAGCGTGAGTCAATTGAAGCTAGACCACCATGAAAAAACTGGAAACATACATACTACTAACAAATATCAAGTAACTAACTTTTAGTAACATTGTCGGGTAACTGAAGTTGATGAGATTCTGGATCAATAGAATGGAGGATTGTAGACATTTGTGAACTCTGTGTAGTGGTCGTGATATTAGAAGTAATGGTAGTATTAGTATCCAAAGGATAGGCAAAATGGTGATTTGATTTTTTTGTAAGGTTATTGGCTGCAGTAGAATTTTGTTCGGAAATTTCATGTTTTGGAGAGTTTATCACCATGGTTGATTCCATTGTAGCAAGTGAATTAGATAAACGAGCGTTCACAGATTTCAAATGTTCATGTCTTGTTGTAAGACGAATCAATTTAGCTTCAAGAATATCATTTTCACATTTTAATTGATGCAAACAATCCAATAAGGTAACAACTAAAGTTTATGTATAATATACAGAATACATGAATTACAGGCTTCCATGCGAACAGTAATGATAAATCAATTAGAGATTATTAAAATTAACTGAATTATCTTATAACTTATACATTGATGTATGCAGACTTGGGAATGTAAGCCAATATAAAAGTCGAATTTTTAAAGCAGTGAGCCGTTCCTCTATATTGAATTATAAAGAACCGTTAGAAATATAGTCAGTCAGTCAGCTACAACGTAGGACCAGGCACATATATGCATCGGTCCAAGTTGCCATACCTCGTTAGCACAACAAGAGGAACATCGGATTCATAGAAGTAATTAATTTACTGGTGGTAGTAGTATATAAATTATAGGTTGTATATAAGGATATAGTACAGGAAGGAAGAGAGATATGAAGCAATTTTAGTCTCAAGGTTTAAGGGAAGATAAAGAGTGCATACACCTACGCCATTGTGACCGATTCTGAGCCATGTCACACAGAGTCTCCAACCATTAGTTACGATAGTCACGCGGACCCCAACCAGGTAGTCTGCATCTGCCGACATGTTAGAAATATAAATGGTTCATGTCTTCTACCTTCAAATATAAACATTAATTGATGACTGACTAGAGGTCAATGTCATGCTTGTCTATAATTTAATGTGAAATGAATTAAATTGATCAAGTTATAATGTGGTTACTAGTATAAGTGACTCGATACTCCGTGCACTATTTTCTGATATTAGGTTATTTTATTTATTTATTTATTTAAACACATAAAAATTGGTACAATGAAGCACCAGATAAATATGCGCCTCACAAATCTCATTCGATTTGTGTAGTTGGATGTAGTCCACAGAAAGCTCTGTATCTAGGTTTCATGCTAGTCGGGATTTACTAGAAAAGGTAAAATTTGCGTTTTGAAGAAATTGATATTCGTCGTGGTATTTAAAGACTCGTCATTTACCTAGTACCTCATTCCTAACCTACTCATTGTTTACTCCGTGGTCCCAAAGTACACGAGCAATGCTTCGAAGACACCCACGGTCGAATACCAGGAACCTACGAATATCCCCTATTCCTAATAGCCATCTTTCACATCCATAAAGTGGAACGGACCAAACTGGTATGCAGTAAACTCTCCCTTTGTTTGGAACACAGATATCTCGCCTACGCTGCAAGTGATGGACCTTAACAAAATTCAGTAAAGCCTCATGAATCCGTGATGAGATTTCGTCAGACACCACACCATCGGTATTGGTGTGACTCCCAAAATAGGTAGAGTAGTCGGTGCGTTCAAATACTTCACACCCCATCATTAATTCCGGTTCTGATGCAAGCCAATCATGAAGTCATATTTTGTACTTGAAGTGAGAGAACCCGATCCGGTAAAATTCATATCTAAAACTGTCTAATAATTGGTCATTAGATTTCCTATAATGTGAATAAAACTTTAATTCCTCACTTTGTAAAGAATAAAATACTATCATTTTCAACAAAAATTTGATTTTGAAAAGCCTATGAGATGAACATCTGAGGATCTAATGAACAACGACATGAATTCAATCATGAGAATCTTACAGATTTCTTTAATAGTTAGGAATATTATGAATGAAAGGTGTCAAAACCTGAAACGGTAGTACCATTTGGTTCCACCACGACTGGATTTTAGCTTCAGATCCTAAAGCATTCATCCATATTATAACTTTATCAATACTAAAATTATTTTAAAATGTAAACAGTACATTCACTCGCATGGTAAGCAGAGATGGATAATGGCTAGCAGAGGAATCCAGGACGCGCGTTTCGTCCTACTTGGGACTCGTCAGCTGGATGTACCTGCATCTCAGAGTTGATGTTCACTCTTGGACTCGAACCCAGTACTTCGCTTCAAACGCCATCGCGTTATCCACTCGGCCACTGAGTCCTGATAGCCACTTGCTTGTGCGATGGGGTGAAGTTTAAATTTAGAGACTGACTAGTTGCAGTCCTAACAAATCGATGGGAAGATTCAAACAAACAATACTGAATGAATTTATTACATTCACTCGTTTAAAGATACGTGATAAATTCTTTGAAGAAACCAAAGAAATGATGTGAAATTGATTACTGAAATAAAGCAGTCATTCATTTTGATATGCATAAATATACATACTGCAGAAACAAAAGTTTCTTCTAAATTACAATAATCAATTGATAATACATACCATCTGTATTCTTTGCCTGTTGCATTAGTAAAGCTCCAGCTTGATCCCATTGCCATTCTAACAAATCATGCATGGTAGCTAATGTAGGTGGTGATGAATTATCATATTTTGTTGAGATTGGGACTTTATTTGTAGGCGCCAACGGTGAATCAACATACATTCCAGCTACATTATTTAAAACTGAACTATTCTTCGAATTACAAGAAATGCCTAAACCACGTAATGATAAAGGACGACGTGGTAGTATTAGAGGTAAATTTTCCTGAGTAGTTACAGGGATAGTGGAATCAGTAACGGAACTTTGGGATGATGTAATTGTACTAGTCACAGCCGAGTGATTGCTTGTTGTTGCTGATGATGAAGATGACGAAGATGCTGTACAATTATGACAATCAAGAGAAATTAAAATTAAACTATTTTGTGTGCATGGAATTTGTTCTAACAAAAACAAGGTAATATTCAAAACTCTCGTAGTAGTACATACACCGACAGTTAATTAAATTAAAATACAAAAATTAGATAGGAATGCTTTATTTCATAATAGTTTTACTTCATGTCTTCCAATTAAATGGGAAACTCCTGAAAGTGAAAAATTTATTGTGCATACAGTTATAGACAAAATTACTTACTTACTAACTTACGCCTGTTACCCCTCGTCGAGGAGCATAGGCCGCTCACCAGCATTCTCCATCCAACTCTGTCCTGAGCCTTCCTTTCCAGTTCTTTCCAGTTGCTATTCATCCATTTCATATCGGCTTCTATTTCCCGGCGTAGTGTGTTCTTTGGCCTTCCACTTTTCCACTTCCCTTCAACATTCCAAGTTAGGGATTGCCTCGTGATGCACATTGGTGATTTCCTTAATGTATGTCCGATCCACTTCCAACGTCTTTTCCTTATTTCCTCTTCAGCTGGAAGCTGGTTTGTCCTCTCCCATAAAACGCTGTTGCTGATAGTATCCGGCCAATGGATGTTGAGTATTTTGCGTAGACAACTGTTTATAAATACTTGTACCTTCCTGATGATGGCCGTAGTAGTTCTCCACGTTTCAGCTCCATACAGTAGGACTGTCTTGACGTTCGTATTAAAGATTCTGACCTTGAAATTGGTTGAGAGTTGTTTTGAGTTCCATATGTTCTTCAATTGTAGAAATGCTGCCCTTGCTTTGCCAATCCTTGCCTTTACATCTGCATCCGATCCTCCTTGTTTATCAACGATGCTCCCCAGGTACTTGAATGTTTCCACCTCTTCCAGGGTTTCACCATCAAGTGTGATTGGGTTGGTGTTCTCCGTGTTGCATTTGAGAATCTTGCTTTTTCCTTTGTGAATGTGGAGGCCTATCGATGCGGAGGCTGCTGCTACATTTGCTGTTTTCATCTGCATTTGGTCGTGTGTATGAGAGAGGAGGGCTAGGTCATCTGCGAAGTCCAAATCATCTAATTGATTCTGAGCTGTCCATTGTATTCCGTATTTCCCTTCAGATGTCGAATTCGTCATAATCCAGTCAATCACTAGAAGGAAGAGAAATGGGGAGAGTAAACAGGCTTGTCTGACTCCGGTCCTTACTGGAAATGCATCTGTCAGCTGTCCTCCATGCACCACTTTGCACTGTAATCCATCGTATGAGTTTTGGATAATGTTGACGATCTTCTGAGGAACTCCATAGTGTCGAAGAAGTTTCCACAATGTTCTCCTATCCACGCTGTCAAACGCCTTCTCATAGTCAATGAAGTTGACGTATAGTGATGAGTTCCACTCAACTGATTGTTCAACGATGATCCGTAGTGTTGCAATCTGGTCTGTGCACGACCGATCCTCTCGGAATCCAGCCTGATGATCCCTAAGTTCGGTGTCTACTGCGTCTTTCATCCGATTCAGCAGCACTCTGTTGAAAACTTTTCCTGGTACTGATAACAAACTGATGCCTCTGTAGTTCTCACATTGGCTCAGATCTCCTTTCTTTGGTATCTTGATGAGATATCCTTCTTTCCAGTCCGTTGGCACTTGTTCCTCTTCCAAAATCTTTTTGAATAGAAGGTGAAGCATGTTTGCAGTTATTTCAATGTCTGACTTCAGTGCTTCTGCTGGTATATTGTCAGGTCCTGCCGCCTTCCCACTTCTGATTTGTCTGATGGCCATCTTGACTTCTTCGATCGTTGGTGGAGTGACATCTATTGGAAGGTCAGTGTGGGCTGCTTCGATGTTCGGTGGATTCAATGGGGCTGGTCTATTCAGCAGTTCCTCGAAGTATTCTGCCCATCTTTTCCTCTGTTCTTGAATCTCAGTGATTGTCTTTCCTTCTTTGTCTTTGACTGGTCTCTCTGGTTTGCTATATCTCCCTGCCAATTTCTTCGTTGTATCATATAGTTGTCTCATATTCCCTTCTCTTGCAGGTTTTTCTGCCGCCGTTGCTAGTTCTCCCATGTATTTCTGCTTGTCGGCTTTAATGCTTTTCTTCACTTCTCTGTTTGCTTCTGCGTAGTCTGCTTGTGCTTTGACTTTCTCTGCTCGTGTTCGACTGTTGTTAATTGCTAGTTTCTTGTTCTTCCTTTCTTGAATTTTGTCCAGGGTTCCCATAGAGATCCATTCCTTATGATGAAGCTCCTTACGACCAAGAACCTCCTGACACGTTGAAGTTAATGCTTCTTTTATCCCTTTCCAGTTGTTCTCCAAAGTAGTTTCTTGTTCTTTCAGTAGATCCTGTAGAGCTTAGAACCTGTTGTTGAGAGTTATCTTGAATTCATGGAGTTTGTCAGTATCTCGAAGGAAGGCTGTATTAAACCTTTGTAGTGCTGTTTGTCCAGTTGTCCAGTCTTTCTTTAGCTTCAGTCTCATCTTGGCCACAACCAGGTGGTGATCTGAAGCTATGTCAGCTCCTCTCCGGGTTCTCACATCTTCCATTGATCTTCGGAATTTTTTGTTGATACAGATGTGATCTATCTGGTTCTCTGTGGTTTGGTCCGGTGAGATCCATGTAGCTTTGTGTATGCGTTTGTGTGGGAATGTTGTGCCGCCTATAACCAATTTGTTGAAAGCACATAGGTTTGCAAGTTTCTCCCCATTTTCATTTCTCTCTCCTAGTCCATGTCGTCCAATTATATCTTCATATCCTGTGTTGTCCACTCCAACTTTAGCATTTAGATCTCCCATAAGGATGGTGAGGTCCTTTCGTGAGCACTTTGCTATAATTGATTGCAGCCTTTCATAGAACTGATCTTTATCATCGTCGTTGCTATCATTGGTGGGTGCATAACATTGGATAACATTCATTGTGATCTCTTGCTTCTTTGTTCTGAATGATGCTTTGATTATCCTGGGTCCATGAGATTCCCATCCCACAAGTGCATTTCGTGCTTCTCTGGACAGCATTAGAGCAACTCCCTGAGTATGTGGCGCATTTTCCCCTTCGTGACCGGAGTACAGCAGCATCTCTCCTGTACCTAGCCTTTGTTGTCCAGTTTGTGTCCAATGGGTTTCGCTGATTCCGAGTACTGCCAAGTTGTATCTCCTCATTTCCATTGCTATTTGGCTGGTCTTTCCTGTCTCCCACATTGTCCGGACGTTCCATGTACCTATAAAGAGTGTTGCTCTGATTGTTAGAAGGTGCATCGGTCTCGTGACTTCCGAAGAATTTCGGCTTTCATCATGAGGCATCATAATTATTCCTTCAACTCCCAGGACAGAGTTTAAATGGTTTGAATGATTTTTTCTGGTTAGCTTTTTTTTAGCGAGTTAGCTTTTCTACGGGATGGGGTCGCTAACCCCATGCCCAACCCTCCTCCTTTACCCGGGCTTGGGACCGGCAGTAACTCTAGAAGAGCTACAGGCGGAGTTATATAGACAAAATATGTCGATAATTTTTATATCAAGTATACAATGCTTCCTGAATGTATTTCAACACTAAAGCTGTGAGACCTATACACACCTGGTTGTGCATGACTCATCAACCAGTGAATCATAAGCAACGTAGAACTTGACACAAATGTGAATCGGCCTCATTTGCCACACTACATCAGCACAGAGAAATGAATACTAAAGTGGTGTTAGTAGCAGTAATACTATCAGTGATAGTAAAAAAGAATATGTTTTGAGCCTGAAGGAATGGGTTTCCAGGCATTCGCTCGTTTAGTGGATTCCGCTGGAATCCAGACGTCCCACAATAGTAGTATTTCTTGACCTTAAGGCGGCATTTGACTCCGTTGATCGTGAGGTTCTATGCAGTGTTTGTCACTGAAAGGAGTACCAAAGAAATACATTAACCTCATAAAGGCTCTCTACTCGAACACAACTGGTCGAGTTAGAGCCTATGGCGAACTGTCATCAGAACTGATTACCACAAGTGGCGTTCGTCAGGGCTGTCCACTCTCCCCATTCTTGTTTAACTTTGTCATTGACATACTTTTAGAGATAGCACTTTCATCAGCTAAACCTCCAGGAGTTAAAATTTTACCAGGAGGCTCACTTGTTGACTTAGAATACGCCGACGACATAGTTTTACTCGGTGAAGACGCTGACAACATACAGAGTCTTCTGACCACTATAAGCAACTATGCAGGCATGTTCGGGATGCTATTCTCTCCCTCGAAGTGCAAAATGTTACTTCAGGATTGGGTTGCATCGACTCCTGAACTAATGATAGGGAGTGAAGTAGTTGAGCGTGTAGACCACTTCAATTATCTTGGGAGTCTCATCAGCCCTTGTGGTCTGGTATGTGACGAAATCTCAGCACGGATACAGAAGGCTCGTCTAGCTTTCGCCAACTTGCGTCATTTATGGCGTAGGCGAGATATCCGTCTAGCAACCAAAGGACGGGTTTACTGTGCAGCAGTTCGCTCCGTCCTACTTTATGGCAGTGAAACATGGCCAATAAGAGTAGAGGATATTCGTAGGCTACTAGTGTTCGATCATAGGTGTCTTCGAAGCATTGCTCGTATATCCTGGGACCACCGGGTAAGTAATGCAGTTGTTAGGAAATGAGTACTGGGTAGGGATGGCAAATCGATTGATGAAGTAGTGAAACTTCATCAGTTGAGATGGCTGGGACACTTGTTACGTATGCCCGACCACCGACTGCCCCGACGTGCAATGTTTTATGGTGTAGGAGTAGGTTGGAAGAAAGCTAGGGGTGGCCAGACTAAAACGTGGCACAAATCAATGAAGTCACAGACAAGTGGACTGGGCCGTGTTGGTAGGTGTAGACTACCTGGTTGGGATTCGCGTGATGACAGCAACCGATGGTTAGAGACCTTGAATGACATGGCTCAAAATCGTTTGCAATGGCGAAGGTGCATCCACTCTTTGTGTTCTACCAAATTCTAATCTTCTGAATTCCTCATGTCTTTATCTTTTTCTCTTTCCGAATTTATTTCACTGTACTATACTCCTTCAATAATTTCTTCAAACCCTAATCTTTTGGATTTCTGATTATACTCCTACTACTTCTACCACTATGGGATTTGAATCGACAACTGCATCTCTGTGCTAATGTGGTATGGCAACTCGAACTGATGTACGTAAGTACGAAGTTCTACGTTGTGACTGACTGACTGGAATCCACTGACTTTTCTTAATCTTTTGGTTGAAGTCACCAGTAGAAAGCATGACTGTTATAATAGCTATTTGGATGTTATACAGAACTACATCAAAGTAAACATCACTTTTGTGATCAACTAAATGCTTCTCTACTTGTTCCTGAGGGATATTTGCCGTTTTTATTGTTTTATTCTGAAGCGTCTTTTGTTGTGACTTTTTTGTGCTTAGTAAGAGGCAGCTAACACATAACCTAGCATTGGAGAGTGGTATGAGTCTAAATAGATGGTACAGAAAGAGGAGCACACTTCTATACAGCCTCTCCAGAAATCTTTAATGTAGATATGGTCCATTTGTCTCCGACTATTTAAATGTAGTTGTATATCTGTATGCTATCAGAGTTTAATCTTTACTGTATCCGTAACCATACTCTCACCCCATAAAACGTTCAGTTAGAAATTCAAGTTATGATGGTGTTTTAAGTTATAGTGCGAATTACTACTCAATTAATGAGTTTGCTTTGCAACAGATATATCAACTGTTGAAATATCCTTTATGAAGCACACTAAAGCATGCTCAAAATAACCGTCGTATTCCGAATTTTTTGCCGACTGAAAAGATAGAAGAGGCGTTTGATATATTATAAAGCACTAGAGCTGACGCAAGACTAATCAATTGGATCCCCATTAACAGTAGATTATGTGCTCCTAGATTAGAAAGCTCCATCAATGTGAGAGAAAAAATCGGTGTGGGAAACGATGTCTCTTCGTTATCTCCCCCTACGCCATGATTGATTGCAGTCTGGATGTAATTAACAATGAGTTAAGTGATTTCCTATGGAAAAAACGTTCGACAGACATCGCAGTACTAGCTAAGGATTTGAATGTACAAGTCGGGTGTTTAGACACAAAGAAGAATTGCGTGGGTGGCCAGACGGAATTTGTTAGTCATCGTATAGATAACGGTAACCATCTACTGAAACTTTGCGCGCATTACGACCTGTTTTGGGCTGGCATTATCGGCATAATTGGCCGCCCCTAACTGTCTTCCAACCATCCCCAACACTAGTCAGCATTGCGCGTCGTGGTAACCGGTGTTCAGGCATACGTAGTACGTGGCCCAGCAATCTCAGTCGAAGAAGATTTACAACCTCATCAACTGATTTATCATCATCATTCCGTAATACCCTTCACTATTACTTACCCGGTGATCCTAGCAGATGCGAGCAATATTTCTAAGACATCTGTGATCAAATACTAGTGGCTTACGAGTATCCTCTACCCTTAATGGCCATGTTTCACAGCCTTATAGCAGAACAGAAAGAAATGCTGCAAAGTATACTTGCCCTTTAATTGGTAGACGGATATTTTGCCTTCGCAATAGGTGACATATGTTGTCAAAAGCCAAACGAGTTTTCTGAATCCGTGCTGAGATTTCGTCACACACCGACTCATTAGGGCTGATCAGACTTCCACGATAAATGAAGTTGTCGACGCATTCACCTACTTCACTCCCTATCCTTAGTTCAGGTGTTGACGCAGGCCAGTTCTGAAGCAACAACTTGCATTTATAGGGGAAGAAACGCATTCTAAACTTCCTTGCATAGTCGCTGAGTGCTACCAAAAGACTGCATTTTATCAGCGTCTTTTTTCGCACAAATCTTATCTCACACTTCAGTGGCCAATAAATTCATCCTCCTAAAAGGATCGATGTAAGAAAATCGGCTGAAGCTTCTGAAGCAACTAAATATCAAACCGAGAGAGGTGAAGGCTAGCTATCAACCTAACGAAAAGTATGAATGAGAATTGGCTGTTTGCATGACGAAATGGAAATGGCGAGTACAGTCGAGAAACGCCCTGCTTATAAGCATTTAGTTTTTACAAGCTCCTTACGACTCTATGAGGCAAGTGAGTCAACTTCAGGTAACCGCGAGTTTTATAATAAACGTAGGTTGTTGCTGTGTGACACATATGCATATTATAGTGTCCCTTTGTACTAATATTTATGCGCTTGAATAAATAAATAATAGATCGGATAGACTGTGATTAATAGTGGAATACAGGATGCGAGTTTCATACTATTTGGAACTTCTTACCACCAAAATAACAAAATATGGACGATATTATTACAATCTATATACAAGAGCTATAATCCTTTATGGTTGCATTTTAGTACTATTAAGAACTTACTAAGAACTCCTTCTGTATCAATAGCTTCACCAATTCTGTCTTTACTTAAGTTTACATCCATTTTTATCCGTTTAACATTTGGGCAGCCGGTTGTTGTAGACCCAGGAGAGCGAGTTTCACTAGAAATTTGATCTTCCTGTATTGCGGAAGAGCTTTGATGATTAAACTCGCTTTTGCATTCCGACGTAGTCTTTTCATCACTCTTTAAATCGTCTTGAGAGTTACTGCCCTCATCTGCTCTGTTTGGATCTGAAGTACATGGTCGCTGAGAAAGACGCAGTTGGGAAGACCGGCGTCTAGGAGGTTGGTTATTCACTTCACAAGACATTTCAGCCGTAGGAGACTTACATACTTTGTTAACGTCAGTGCTACTACAAATGAACAATATTGAAATAGCATTATAAATTTAAAGTTATCAGTTCAAGGGGAAAACAGTAAATTTTCATCAATTAGATGAACTGAAAAGACAATGCATTTAATGGTGTAAATGAACACAAGATGACGGATTACAAATCTTAGGAAAATAAGACTGGAATCCTTTGTTGTATATTATAACCCTATGAAAACCTATTTATCTTTGGGAGTGAAGCTTAATTGACCATACTTGTGAATTTTTCGCAATCAGTGAATACACATAATTCTTGGAGGACGATAGGATTTATGTTAATGGGTTTAATTAAAATTCATTTTTGACTAACCTATTGGCCGGTAAACACTTATAAAAACCAGAAGGATTTCCTTCAAACGTTTAACAAAAACAATGGGATACCGAGTGTTTCATTGTTTTGAAATGAAATTAAATTTGTGTCAAACTTTCAACACAGTGACAGTTGTCAATCAGTCAACCACAAAGGAGAACACGATACGTTTGTATATCGGTTCAAGTCACCACATACTATTAACACATATATGAAATTGTAAGGCCAAATCTCACACTAATAAAGGCAGTAACAGATTCACTGCTACTACAAAAGATTACACATTGAAGATAAGATTCGAGAAAATATATATGAGTGATATAAAAACAAAAAAGATTATGACGAATAGGGAATCTCCGAATATGGCGGAAGACAAACAACCGATGCATCTGCGTCATTCCAAACAATCTCCCCTAATGTCATTCAAAGTTCATAACCATTAGTTATGGTAATCACGTGGACTCCGACCAGACAATAGTGTGATAAATGGATGTTTTAAATCCCAGTGGCTATAAGACTGCTCATTATTTTCTGACGCTGAAACTGGATATAAAGGATGGGTGGCAGTTAGTTTAGATAACATGATTCCAAGGTATGAAAGATAGCTGTACAGAACTGGAATTTGTTTTTATTTTATTTTAAACACATACATATTGGTACAAAGGGCACTGGATATATATGCGCCACACAAAATAATGAGAATAGGAAGAAAAAGGATGAAAAGATAAGGCGGACTGTAAAGTACAACCAGAAGAATTCTCTTAGTTAAGAAAGTAATAACCACTCTTTATGAAGAAAGTAAAAGAACGTTACAGCAGGATCGCCACTGGCTTCTATTCTGAGCCATATCTGATAACGTCTCTAGCCACTATGTTGCACCATCTCTCGGACCCCAGCCAGGGAGTCGTGAAGGACCAACAGAAGCTAGCCCTTTGCAGCTCTCTTTCATGCCACGACACTATGTCATACACTGACCACCTCTCCGCGTTTTCCAACGAGTCCCAGAGTCGGCAAATAATGCACGACGTGGAAGTCTCTGGGACGACATTCGTAAAACATGTCCAAGCCACCGAAGTCGGTGTTTCGAGATGGTGACACCAATTGAATTATCGGAGACAACGATGATCGAACACAGAGAGACGTCTAACATCCTCAACTCGGAGAGGCCAGGTTTCACAAGCATAGAGCAAAACTGCTCTCACCGACGCGTTGTAAATCCGACCTTTTACAGCCAGACTAACATCACGAAGGCGCCAAAGATGGCCCAGATTGGCATAAGCCGCTCTGGCTTTCATTATACGTGCATCAATCTCATCACTCACGCCACCACCAGCACTTATATAGCCACCTAGATACACGAACTTCTCAACTACTTCAATCTGCTCCCCATCCAGGGTGAGTACAGGATGAGAATCCTGCCAGTCTTGTAGAAGTACTTTGCACTTGGAGGGTGCAAAGCACATGCCGTACCTGCGGACACTGATTGCCAACTGATTAAGTGCTGATTGCATGCCTTGGGCCAGGTTTCACAAGCATAGAGCAAAACTGCTCTCACCGACGCGTTGTAAATCCGACCTTTTACAGCCAGACTAACATCACGAAGGCGCCAAAGATGATGATGATGATGATGATGATGATGATGATGATGATGATGATGATGATGATGATGATGATGATGATGATGATGATGATGATGATGATGATGATGATGATGATGATGATGATGATGATGATGATGATGATGATGATGATGATGATGATGATGATGATGATGATGATGATGATGATGATGATGATGATGATGATGATGATGATGATGATGATGATGATGATGATGATGATGATGATGATGATGATGATGATGATGATGATGATGATGATGATGATGATGATGATGATGATGATGATGATGGTGATAATAATAATAATAATAATAATAATAATAATAATAATAATAATAATAACAATGCAGATTGTCTGGCATATAGTAAGCGTGTAAGTAGGATTGTCAGTGCAAGTAATCATTTCATTTATTTGTGTGAGGGCTGTGATACTGCCCGGGTGCCCAAACCGAAGCAGGTGGTTTTCTTAGGGGACCACACCCGGAGCCTTTGACCTAAGGTCTAACCCACAAGGAAGTGGAGCGTCGTGAGGAGATACAGTCCCATGGTAGCCGGTGACCAACAAGAGGTTAATTCGCCATTTGTTCCTTCAAGATACGGGAGCTCATGTGCACAATTGGTTTGGAATCAGGGTTTTCCAACTCCCCTAGGTGGATCCTCCACATCCACCAACCCGGCTAAAGCGCCGGACATTCGCTTTTCGTCCTCTCACTTTCATAAACAACACCCCCGCCACGAGAAGGCAGTGAGTAGGACTTCCCTGGCAAAGGCTATATATTCGCGTCGCCATGTGAGAGCATCTGGAGAGGGAGAGCGTACTGTCCCCACTCTCGGCCGTACCAGGGCATTTGGGAGTTTGTTAGTTTATTATGATTCTTTGGTTAAAGTCTTAAAGATAATGTAATTTACTGGCTTTGGATGTTAATAGACATGGCTTAAAGTAAAAGTCAGTGATGATCCTGTTGCAATTTTCCAGTGAATACTTCATCAACACACAATGAGCTCACTTAATTAAAAGTATCCGCTATATTTTCAGCTGAATTATATTTTGCACCAAGTATTATTCGTATTTCTCAGTTGATTGGCATTACAAACCTTCATCTTTCTTCACTATATTATCGCCATGCTTTTATGATGTACAATTGTACCACAATTTAAATAATATAGATAACAAACAATAAGAACTTTCAAGTCATCTGAGGTTTTCAGGTTTCAATTCTTAAATTTGTCATAAGGTAAATTATGTTAGAGTGGAAGATTCCGCTGCATGATTTTCTACTTACAATATTGACTCGCCTACTGACATCTTATCCATTTTGTTATTTTTTTTTAGTAGAAAGTATTTCGCATATATATATCAAAGAATAAATAAAATCAGTAGTATGCAACAAACTTATTAAGCGTATGTTTTACGCTTACCCGTGAGAAATAGCAGGAACTGAGCTCGAATTGAAACCTTCAGACATGAATTTCTGAAAATCAAAAATATGATTAAAAAAGTTTTTTTCATGCGAAATAAGGGATAATACGAATTTTTTTAAAAAAGTAAAAATAGAAATTTCTATTTAGTCCCACTTAAGCTAATGTAAATGTCGATAATGTAATAAGAAGACTATGTGATATATTAGCGCAATACATTTCGAACAATCTGATCACACATATACTTGTTAAGAACATTTATATATGAAAATAAAAGGTCAACTAGACTGGAAATAGGGGGTAAGAATTGACAAGGATAATAACAATAATAATAAAAATAATGTGAAAACAATTTGACACCTAATCAATCTGGATGTTCTTAACAAGTATATGTGTGAGCAGATGGTTCGAAATGCATTGCGCTAATCTATCACATAGTTCTGATAATCTTCGTCTTCTTATTACGCTATCGACATTTATTAAAGGGCCTAATTGCTTTAAATATAAATGTGTCACTGGATCTGCATATGGGCATTTTTATTCTTAATCTTTGAAAAAAAAATGTACATGACTGTTTTTTGATAATTACACGAGTAAATTTAATCAACTTAACAATGGCAACAGAACATTCTATATAACTGAAATTATTGTCAACGTTGGGTTTTATATCTATAATGAAAGATTTATAACTATGAATACTGCCTTTTTAGAAATGAAATGTCGTTAATATAAAAAAAAATAACTATAATATTTCATATATACCTTATGAATACATTCTACTGGATATCACTCAGTCAGTCAGTCAGTCAGTCAGCTACAACGTAGGACCAGGCACATTTATGCATCGGTCCAAATTGTCATACCTCGTTAGCACAACAAGATCAACACCGGATTCATTGAAGTAGTTAATTTAGTGGTGGTAGTAAATAAAAGATAGGTTGTATATAAGGATATAGTATAGGAAGAAAGAAAGCTATGAAGCAATTTTAATCTCAAGGTTTACGGGAAGACAAAGAGTGTATACACCTGTGTCATTGTGATCGATTCTGAGCCATGTCACCTAGAGTCTCCAACCATTGGTTACGATAGTCACTCAAAGTTGAATGAACAACATAAACATAAAGGTGATATTCTTATTTGTAATTTCAGTTTATTTTCATTACATAATAATCATAGTAGATCAACACATGAAGATGGGATAAGATTTAAAATAGTTCAACTGATTAAAATAGATACAAGATACCTTTTTATGCTGAGAACAACAAAAACCATTTAGTTGATATCTGTAAGATTGTTGTTCACAATTATGATTCATTTCTTTAGATAATTCAGTGGAATCATCTGGTAAATTAGGCGAAGGTTTATTTTTATCGGTTGTCTTGAATAATATTTCAGCAATTGATACAGATGTATTCGCTTCAGTTGCAGGTAACTCGCTAAGTAAACCTTCTACACTAGCACTAGAAAAAGTGGGGAAAAAATTATGTAAATTATTAGTTAATTATTATTATTTATTTAATCACACAAACATAGGTATAAGGTGGCAACAAATACATATGAGCCACACAATAAAAATGAGGTTGTGAAGAGGTAAAGAAGGCAAGATGCGTATAATAAAAGAAAAACAACAACGAACAGATATTAGTGTATGAGTAAAATAATAATAATAATAATGGGAGAGACAGTTCAGTTAGGAGAAATACAACCAGAAAGAATTCTTTCACTTAACAAAGTTAATCACTAATATGGAGAAAGTAGAAGGAAGTTAAAATTTATGTAGACATTTAAATATCTACATGTTTCGATTATTACTTTTACGAATAGAAAATGAAAGGATAACAAAATCAATAACAGCCTGATTAGTTTTTTCTTAAAACCACATGTAGCTCTTCTAGAGTTACTGCAGATCCCAAGCCCACACAAAGGAAGAGGATTGGGCATTATTAGCGACACCATCCCGTAGAAAAACTAACTCGTTAAAAAACGCTAACCAGAAAAAATAATTCAAACCATTTAAACTCTGCCCTCCGAGTTGAAGGAATAATTATGATGCCTCATGATGAAAGCCGAAATTCTTCGGAAGTCACGAGGCCGATGCACCTTCTAACAACCAGAGCAACATTCTTTATTATTATTTATTTAAATTATTTAAACACATATATATTGGTACAAAAGGGCACCAGGTACATATGCGCCACACAAAATAAAGAAAGTAGGGAGAGAAGGGATGAAAAGATAAGGCGGACTAAAATGTACAACCAGAAGACTCTTTCAAATAGGAAAGTAAGAACCATACTTTATGTAGAAAGTAAAAGAAGGTTACAGCAGGATCGCCACTGGTTTCTATTCTGAGCCATATCTGATAACGTCTCTAGCCACTGTGTTGTACCATCTCTCGGACCCCAACCAAGGAGTCGTGAAGGACCAACAGAAGCTAGCCCTTTGCAGCTCTCTTTCATGCCACGACACTATGTCATACACTGACCTCCTCTCCGCTTTTTCCAACGAGTCCCAGAGTCGGCAAATAATGCACGACGTGGAAGTCTCTGGGACGACATTCGTAAAACATGTCCAAGCCACCGAAGTCGGTGTTTCAAGATGGTGACACCAACTGAATTATCGTCTCTGTGCCCGAACACACGATGCCGAACCTCTGCATTACTAACATGGTGTTGCCACTGTATGTCAGCAATCCTTCGGAGACAACGATGATCGAACACAGAGAGACGTCTAACATCCTCAACTCGAAGAGGCCAGGTTTCACAAGCATAGAGCAAAACTGCTCTCACCGACGCCTTGTAAATCCGACTTTTTACAGCCAGACTAACATCACGAAGGCGCCAAAGATGGCCCAGATTGGCATAAGCCGCTCTGGCTTTCATTATACGTGCATCAATCTCATCACACGCCACCACCAGCACTTATATAGCTACCTAGATACACGAACTTCTCAACTACTTCGATCTCCTCTCCATCCAGGGTGAGTACAGGATGAGAATCCTGCCAGTCTTGTAGAAGTACTTTGCACTTGGAGGGTGCAAAGCACATGCCGTACCTGCGGACACTGATTGCCAACTGATTAAGTGCTGATTGCATGCCTTGGGCATTATCGCACAGTAAGACAACATCATCCGCATACTCAAGGTCGAGAAGTCGTTCTCCAGGCAACATATCCACACCGCCATTACTTACATCCATCAGAGCTGTTTCCAGGATGTCGTCGATGGCAAAGTTGAAGAGGAATGGGGAGATCGGGCAACCCTGTCTAACCCCACTGCTCGAATGGAACAAGGGAGAAAGGTGGTTGTATGCCCTCACTCTGCCTGAGGTGTTCGTGTACAGGGCCTTTAAGATGTTAATGAACTTCTCAGGCACACCCTTCTTCAATAGACAATCCCAGAGAACAGTCCTGTCCAACGAATCGAAGGCAGCCCTGATATCAAGAAACACTACGATTGTTGGCCTGCGATAAGTATGACGGTGTTCTAACATTTGGCGGAGGGTGAAGATGTGATCAATGCATCCTCGACCAGAACGAAAACCAGCCTGCTCCTTGCGAGTCAATCGTTCTCGGGTTTTAAACAACCTACGAAGAATGACAGAAGCCAATAGTTTGGACGCAATCGGAAGTAGACTTATCCCCCGATAGTTATTGCAGGAACAACGTGAACCCTTTTTAAAGATAGGGACGACTATTGACTCATTCCATGATGTTGGAGCACTTTCTTGCTCCCAAACCTTTCCAAACAACACAGTCAATTCCTTAGTCAGAAAGTCGCCACCATCTTTAAAAAGAGCTGGAGGTAAGTCATCTGGGCCAGGTGATTTGTAGCGCTTCAAGAGTTGGAGTTCCTTGCGGACTTCCGCCTCGTTTGGTGGATCAGTCGTCACCGGCCATGGGGGGCAGGACAAACTGGTTGATGTTGCCGGAGCAGCAGGTCAGTTGAACTGCCCTTCGAAAAATTCCGCCCATCGTCCAAGACGTCGGGAGATGTTAGTGATTGGCATCCCATCATCCTCGTAGATTGTTTCACTCACACCAGACTTCTTGCTGCCAGTGGCTCGGATGAGTTGAAAGAACTTCCGGCAGTTACCCGATGCAGCTGTTGCTTCCATCTCATTAGCACGCTCCGACCACCAGGCTTCTCGGTCCTTACGCAAGCTCCTTACGGCCCCCAAATGCATTGGTACGGCCGAGAGTGGGGAGAGTCTACTCTCCCTCTCGAAATGCTTTCATATGGCCAGCGAATATATAGCCTCTGCCAGGGAAGTCCTACTCACTGCCTTCTCGTGGCGGGGGTGTTGTTTACGAAAGTGAGAGGACGAAAAGCGAATGTCCGGCGCTATAACTGGATTGGTGGATGTGGAGGGTCCACCTAGGGGAGTTGGAAAACCCTGATTCCAAACCAATGGTGCACATGGGCTCCAGTTTCCTGATGGAACGAATGGCGGAAGAACCTGTCATTGGTCAACGACTACCATGGCACTGCATCTCCTCACGATGCTCCACTGCCTTGTGGATCGGACCTTTTGGTCAAAGGCTCGGGGTGTGGCCCCCTAAGAAAACCACCTGCTTCGGTTTGGGCACCCGGGCAGTATCACAGCCCACACACAAATGAATGAAATGACGAACTCTATTGACGATTCTATTCCTGCTCATATTATAAGCAAGACATTCTTTATAGGTACATGGAACGTCCGGACAATGTGGGAGACAGGAAAGACCAGCCAAATAGCAATGGAAATGAGGAGATACAACTTGGCAGTACTCGGAATCAGCGAAACCCATTGGACACAAACTGGACAACAAAGGCTAGGTACAGAAGAGATGCTGCTGTACTCCGGTCACGAAGGAGAAAATGCTCCGCACACTCAGGGAGTTGCTCTAATGCTGTCCAGAGAGGCACGAAATTCACTTATAGGATGGGAATCTCATGGACCCAGGATAATCAAAGCATCATTCAGAACAAAGAAGCAAGGGATCACAATGAGCGTTATCCAATGTTATGCATCCACCAATGATAGCAACGACGATGATAAAGATCAGTTCTATAAAAGTCTGCAATCAATTATAGCAAAGTGCTCACGAAAGGACCTCACCATCCTGATGGGAGATCTAAATGCTAAAGTTGGAGTGGACAACACAGGATATGAAGATATAATCGGACGACAAGGATTAGGAGAAAGAAATGAAAATGGGGAGAGGCTTGCAAACCTATGTGCATTCAACAAATTGGTTATAGGCGGCACAACATTCCCACACAAACGCATACACAAAGCTACATGGATCTCACCGGACCACACCACAGAGAACCAGATTGATCACATCTGTATCAACAAAAATTCCGAAGATCAATGGAAGATGTGAGAACCCGGAGAGGAGCTGACATAGCTTCAGATCACCACCTGGTTGTGGCCAAGATGAGACTGAAGCTTAAGAAAGACTGGACAACTGGACAAACAGCACTACAAAGGTTTAATACAGCCTTCCTTCGAGATGCTGACAAACTCCATGAATTCAAGATAACTCTCAACAACAGGTTCCAAGCTCTACAGGATCTACTGAAAGAACAAGAAACTACGATGGAGGACAACTGGAAAGGGATCAAAGAAGCACTAACTTCAACGTGTCAGGAGGTTCTGGGTAGTGACAGGTATCATCATAAGGAATGGATCTCTATGGGAACCCTGGACAAGATTCAATGAAGGAAGAACAAGAAAACAGAAATTAACAACAGTCGAACACGAGCAGAGAAAGTCAAAACACAAGAAGACTACGCAGAAGCAAACAGGGAATTGAAGGAAAGCATTAAAGCCGACAAGCAGAAATACATGGGAGAACTAGCAACGGCGGCGTAAAAAGCTGCAAGAGAAGGGAATATGAGACAACTATATGATTCAACGAAGAAATTAGCAGGGAGATATAGCAAACCAGAGAGACCAGTCAAGGACGAAGAAGGAGAGACAATCACTGAGATTCAAGAACAGAGGAAAAAATGAGCAGAATACTTCGAAGAACTGCTGAATAGACCAGCTTTATTGAATCCAACGGACATCGAAGCAGCACACACTGACCTTTCTATAGATGTCACTCCACCAACCATCGAAGAAGTCAAGATGGCCATCAGACAAATCAAGAGTGAGAAAGCGACAAGACCTGACAATATACCAACTAAGGCACTGAAGTCAGACATTGAAGTAACTGCAAACATGCTTCACCTTCTATTCAAGAAAATTTTGGAAGAGGAACAAGTGCCAACGGATTGGAAAGAAGGATACCTCATCAAGATACCAAAGAAAGGAGATCTGAGCAAATGTGAGAATTACAGAGGCATCAGTTTGTTATCAGTACCAGGAAAAGTCTTCAACAGAGTGCTGCTGAATCGGATGAAAGACGCAGTAGACGCCCAACTTCGAGATCAACAGGCTGGATTCAGCAAGGATCAGCCGTGCACAGACC